AAGGAAGAGAAGGAAGGAAGAGAAGGAAGGAAGAGAAGGAAGGAAGAGAAGGAAGGGGAGAAAGAAGGGGAGAAGGAAGGGGAGAAGGAAGAAGAGAAGGAAGGAAGAGAAGGAAGGGGAGAAGGAAGGAAGAGGAGAAAGAAGGAAGAGGAAAAGGAAAAGAAAGAAGGAAGAGGAAAAGGAAGAGGAGAAAGAAGAAAGAGGAGAAGGTAGAGGAGAAAGAAGGAAGAGGAGAGGGAAGAGGAGAAGGAGGATTCAAGGGTGTGACTGCTCTGATGTGAGAAGTGGCCACAAGGCACCCGTCATCCCCGGGCACGGCTTGTGCTCCTGCTCAGGCTTCGCTGTGCAAGTGCTGCCCAGGTTTGTCCCCTCCGTCCTGCCCCGCACGCTCAGCAGCAACGCAGGGGCAAGCTCATGGAACACAAAGGAGCCCCCCACCAGATTGCGGGGAAAACCAGGGCTGGAGGAGCATCGCCTCGCCCATCTCCCAGGCCCGAGGCAGGATCCGCCAGATCAGCACTCTTCCAGCAAGGCCTTCAGGATTTGGCCTCAGCAGAAGACTTCCCAGCTGGACAAGTGGCAAAATACCACGTGTGCGTGGAGAGCAGAGATCAGCGACTGCCTGGCCGGGCCCCAGGATGGGGCCGAGCAGCCTGCTCGGGACAAGCCAAGCCTCTGAGAGCCTCCCTGCCCGGACACTGCTGCAGGCAGCCACGCACAGGGGCTCGGCCGCAAGTTAAACGAGAGGCAAGAGCTGGATTTCTCTCCCAACATCTTTATTCTAGCGCAATCAAGTTTAAGTTCCGATTAAAAGGTTTCATTAACCAAAAAATCTGCACCTGTCAGCAGGACAAAGATCCCCATCCCTAAACCCAAGCACAAGCGCCTGCAACCATAGAACCATAGAATCCCAGGTTGGAAGGGACCCCAAGGATCATCTGGCCCAACCTTTCTGGGCCAGAGCCCAGCCCACACAAGGTGGCCCAGCGCCCTGTCCAGCTGAGGCTTAAACGTGTCCAACGTGGCGGAGCCAACCCCTCCCCTGGGGAGATTATCCCAAGGGTTATCTTCCGAGGAGATAACCGGTACAGGCAGAGCCTCTCGGGTCCCAGCTGTGGATGGGCCGGCCGGCACGAGCCCTGCTGGCACGGCCGTCGCTCGGCCAGGTACTTCTGCCTGCGGAAGGGTACCGTGCGGAGCACGAAGCAAGCCCCTGTTCGCCAAGCCAGGGGTTGTTCCCCCTGTAAGCCGGACCGCTGCATTTTAAATCAGGGCTGCGGTGGGAAGGAAGTCGCCCTTCAAACCCCGTGAACGGCGACATTTTCCAAGAAACCGTGCTGCTGCTACACAAGCACTGTGCTCCTGCTTAACACTTGGGAGGTCGTGTGAAGGCAAAGAGCAAATGTACCGGCGCTTTTTAATCAGCACATCAAATATCCTCATCGTCTCTCATCTGCACGTGCAAACACGCACGCACGCACCCCCCCTGCTAATTAAACTGCGAGTGTTTCAGCAGTCTTTTGTAATACTTTATTTAAAACCTGAAAACATTATCAGTGGGAGGATTGACTACAAGAGTTGTGACGTTCCCCAATGCCAGATGCTTAAGTAATGCTACGGACGGGAGGTGTGCGTCCAGCCCCCCCCGAGCCCCCGGGAGCGGGGCCCTGGCCCCGGCGCCTCCCCGGGCAAGCAGCCACCCAGCGCTTCCACCTGAGCCTCATCACCCATCTGGAAACGAAGGGTTCCCATCCTGCCGCCTGCAGCGTTCCTAATCGCACGCACCCTCCTCCTATTCAGCTTGCCGAGACAATAAACGGGGAATTGGAGCATCCTTGGTTTGAGGTCCGGGCCCAGATGCGGGTAAGGGCTGGAGCTGAGGCTGCCAGCAGAGCGCCGAGGGGGAGAGACTCCAGTTCTGCTCCCAACGCAGATGGCGAGCCAGATGCAAAGGTGACGGGCGCACTCTTCTCATGCAGGCAGGCAGATCAGCTGCCCCCCTAAGGTTTGGATTGCTCTGAACGTGTCTATCCTGCACGGTGGAATACAGCCCAAAAGCTCCTGAGCTGGTAAGCCCTGCGGCCGCACACCATGCGGCAGGACCAGCGGAGACCCAGAGCGCGCTGCCGCCCGTTACCCACGCGGCGCCTGAGCGCACCGCACAAAGGCAGCTCCCCGGTCCAAGCAGACTTGCACGCTGCCGGCTTAGGGCTTTCTGCTCCATGTTTCCCAGAGTTTCCACTCTACGCTTAAAGCAGGCGGAGAGTCTGGCTGGAGAGCAAGCACCCGCGCTGCTACCAGGACCAGCAAGGCTGGCAAAGGGCAGGTCTCTTGCCAACTGACTCAAGGAGCGACCCTCTCTAGCTGCAGGGGGCTCAGACCCCCCCCAAGAGGCAAGGGGACTGCTGAATGGTCCCTGAACGCGACTGCTCAGGAACACAGACAACATGGGACTGCAAAGCTTCAAATTCCCCGAAGATATTTGAGTTAGGGTGTCTCCTAGCTCAGCGTGAGACGATGACAGGAAAAGAGGCAACAGGCATGAACTGAAACACGTCAAATTCTGTCCGAAGATCAGGAAACACTTTTTTAGTGTGAGGGTGACTGAGTGCTGGCACAGGTTGTCCAGGGAGGTGGAGGAGTCTCCATCCTTGGAGATATTCAAAAGCCACTTGGACATGGTCCTGGGCAACCGGCTTTGGGTGGTCCTGCTTGAGCAGGGGGGTTGGACCAGATAATCCCGAGTCCCCTTCCAACCTCCGCCAGGCTGTGATTCTGTGACGGTGTAACCAGCAGGTCTAAGCACCAAGAGTGACTCACTGAGGGCTTGTGTCAAGCAGTGAGGTGGTGGCATGGCAGCAGGATCAGGCAGCACGGGGCGGAAAGCAACTCCCGACCTGCACGATGACAAGTGGGAAAGCCTCCCGCCCTACACCCCCGAGAGGGTATGTCAACATAAGGATTATACATACACGCAACGCTCTTTCTGTGGGCCTGATGGTCTACTCACATGTGCCAGCAGAACAAGGCACGACCCAGCCGCAGGATCAGGGAAAACTCCCCAAACCATAACCAGAGCCTTCAGTGCCGCGTAATTACTGAGCTCTCCCTTCAGCATCGTCACGTGCTGTGCTGGTTAGGGAAGGAAAGTATTTCTCAAAGGCCAAATCTTGATCTAGGACGGAGGTTTGCATGCTGTGAACCACGTTTCCCTGCACAAAGCCCATGGCCTATGTAAAGAGGCAAATCAAGCGTGGTGCCAGCACGGGGAACCACAAAGTGGGAGAAATAATAATAAAGAAATGCAGTATTAAAAAAAGGTCTGCAAGATTACAGTCTTCGAATGATGGCTGGCAAGGACTGCTTGTGGCCTGCTATGAGGGGTGCGTGGCAGGAATCGGAGAAGATCTGAAATCTTTAACTACTTCTGATCCAAGGACTGCTATGGATAAATGGGGATCTGAGGATAAATGAGGGCCGTAACCTTAGAAGCAGTCTCTTCCCTGAGGAAACGCCAGCACTAGGCCAGTCTGTGCTGCTGTGGAAGATGATGCTGATCCCAGCTTCTAATTAGAGAGATGACATAAGGTCACACGTTCCCGAGCAGGATGTCGGCTCAGTCGTTGTAATGTAATGCACAGGATCGGAAAAGGGTGGGGGAAGACTATTGCACAGCAGCGTCTGGAAAGGAAGAGGAGAGACGTGGCAAATATCCAGCAGAAGAGGCTCATAGGCTCAGAGGCCACCAGGGGCAAGGAGAACACCAAGTATGAGAAGCAGCGAGAGAGCTCAGGCACCGGCTCTGCCTGACACAGGGGAGCTGCACCCACAAGGGGCTGTCATTTCCCAGCGGGGCTACCCAAGGTCCTCCGTGTCGCACAAGATTCAGGGTTTGAGGAGGAGCTGCTTCTCAGTTTGATGTTTCACCGTTGCCGGAGTCGGTATCAGCCTTTAGTAAGCGGACCCAACGCTGGAACGCCTCATACGTCTGGCAGGTTCCCAATAGGAAGGTCACGTTTGCTGGTTTCCGTGGCTCGGTGCTGTCTCTGGGGCTTTCAGGTCACTTGGATCCCAAAGGACAGCCACGATTAGGACCCTCATGAGCCTTTTGGTCTCACAGGAAGATTTTAAAAGCCAGGATATTAGGAACATGATTTTCACAAGACCAGAAATAATCAAGTTTTTCACAGCAGTCAGTAACCCAACCTCTGCAGGCAGGGGAGGAAGCAGGGGGAACATCATTCAGTAGCTCCAGTGGAAGCACGAGAGGGAGGCAAAGTGTAAATGTGCTCTGCTGAGTGCCAGGGAAGGATAGGCGTCCGTGACTCTGCCTTCAGCTGAAGTGAGAAACATTATTCCGACCACTCAACTACTAAATGGATCACAACCTGGAGTTACTCACACCTGGAGTGGAGAGAAATCCTGGGGCACTGATATTCCAAGAGAACACGTGAGTTTGAAGTACGAGTACCAGAATTTTAAGCACCGATCACCAAAGAAGAACAAGAACCTCTCTGGTTTCTGCAGCCAGGGACGTCCCACCCGGAGCCTGCGGTGGCAGACGGTGTGGGGGGCCTTTTGCCATGCTGGCTTTCTTCAAAGATGTTCCCTTCTTCCCTGGATGAAGGTAACAGGACATCCTCTCTGGGTAGCAGTGCCCATGTAATACTGCCTGTCTTCACGGTGTCTGTAAGAAAACTGGAAGAACTTGGCAGCTCCCGTGTCTGCCTGCTAAGGAATGTCTGGACCAAGCACCGAGCTTCATTTTCTCCTGATCAAGCCATGACTGAAGGGGCAGTGGCTGCATCTCCA